GGGCGGCCGCACGGAGGTGGTGTGGCGTTGGCGGGAGCTCGAGTACGCGGCAGTTAAAGGGCCGTGGGTTGAGGTGCTGAGGGGGCTCCTGTCAGTCGGCCACCTCTTGAAATTCATCGCGGGAAGTGTGAAGGCAGCAGCTTCTGGGAGTGTATTTCGTGTGACTGAGTGAAAAAAAAACGGCCACTGGCATCCTGGCTTGTATCTAGTGTGGCCAGCAGGACCAGGGAAGTGATCCTGCCCCTGTACTCAGCACTGGTGAGGGCCGCACCTTAAATACTGTGGTCAGTTTTGGGCCCCTCACAACAAGAAGGACATTGAGGTGCTGGAGCATGTCCAAAGAAGGGCAATGAAGCTGGTGAAGGGTCTGGAACACAAGAATTATGAGCAGTGGCTGAGGGAACTGGGGTTGCTTAGTCTGGAGAAGAGGAGACTGAGGGGAGACCTTATCACTCTCTACAACTGCCTGAAAGGAGGCTGTGAGGTGGAGGTTAGCCTCTTCTTCCAAGTAACAAGTGATAGGACTAGAGGAAATTACCTCAAGTTGCACCAAGGGAGGTTTGGATTGGATATTAAGAAAAGGTTATCAGACATTGGAACAGGCTGCCCAGGGGAGTGGTGGAGTCACCATTCCTGGAGGGATTTAAAAGATGGGTAGATGAGGTGCTTAGGGACATGGCTTAGTAGTGGACAGGTTATGGTTGGACTTGATGATCTTAAAGATCTTTTCAAACCAAATAATTCTATGATTCTATGAAAATCCTGTGGGACAGACCAGGATTTGTGAAGTGCAACAGCCCTGCAACACCACAGGGAAGAAGCAGAAGGTGCTCAGCCAGGGCCTTGCCCCACTGATTAAGACACTGGACAGATAGTTCTGGATGGCACTAGAGGATGTCTGAGCTGAGGAGTCCTGCATGAGCTTGGGCATTGGTCCTGGACTGATTTTCAGGCCTGGTGATATAATTCAACTCACATTTGTAATGTTAGCATGTGCGTAAGATGTAGCAGATAGTGGTCAAAGTCTCAGAGCTTATGATCCCTCTGAAGACAAGGGATCTAACATGCTCTTCTTTGTTCATAAACTATACAGAGACACTTATCTCATGCTCATGCATGGGCTGTTTCAGTATCCCTGCTGTTCCTTGAGGATGCTGTTCTGCTATGAAGAGCATCATCAAGGTCAGGTTGGATGGGGGTTTGAACAACCTGATCTAGTTGTAAATGTGCCTGCTCATTGTGAGGAGGTTGGACTAGATGACCTTTAAAGGTCGCTTCCAACCCAAACCATCTGATGCTTCTATGATCATGCTTTAGTGAGCAGCTAGCTGAAGTGTTTTGGGGCTTCTGTAGTCAGTTTAGAAATATAAGATTGTGTCAGTTAAACATCACACATTATAAACAAACTTACATATCCTGTGTCGAGATAAGGCTTTTCATTCTGAGAACATATTTGTGGTTGTGTTGTTTTTCACCTTAAGAATTTTTTTTGTTTTGTTCCTCAGAAGCTGCACAAACAAAATTAAGATATTAAATTCAGTTTTTCATTGTAGCTAGCTTCCTATTTGCCAGTGGGATTCTTTTCTTTCTTATAATGGAAATTTCTATTATCTTTGCTTTTATAGACACTTGATTTTTATTTTTATTTTAAAATCTGGAAATGCAGGTAATTATGTAACTGGGCATTAGGTTTTATGGGCTTGTAACTGAACTAGGCAAATCTATGATCCAGTATGATGCTGGTGTGAACCAATGAGAAGCTGAGGGCCCAAGTGGCACCAGAGCTTCTTTAAACACAAATGTACCATTGACCTTCTGGCAGTGACTTTGTGGCACCGGGGTTATTGGGCACCCAGTTCTCACTTGTGCTTTTGAAAATCTTGCTCTTCAGCAAATTTTACTTCTTTCTCTGTAGCATTAATCACTTGCCACTGCCCAGTGAGTAATACAATAGAAATAGGTGTTAATGAATTTGAAGATTTTGTAATATTATGGACTAGTCTGTGAAACAAGTTGCAGTAATAGATTCTGGGGTGGAAGTTGAAATTCTGTTATCCTTTCCCCTCTAAAATGTGTCTTCCTGCTGTGCTAGTGTAGATTATAGAGTATAGTCTGACCAAGCCGCACTGAGCCAATAAAAATCTGTAATTTATTTGCAACTTGAATTTGTTTCTTTTAAAATTATGGTAAACCCAAGCTGACAAAATCTGCATTTCATTGATTTCTAAAAGTTTCTTGTTTTCTGCTTTACAAAAGAACAATTTTCTTTTGTGTAGTTGTTGCAGATTATTTCTAGAATTGTGGCATGGTCCATTTGCAATAGTGAGTTAACAGATGAAGGAACACACAACAGATAAAGGAGCACACGAGGTACCGAGAGCCTAATACAGTGAGGAAAGTATATTCCAGTGAAAGATGGAAGCAATTTCAGGTCATTTTAATGTAGAAAACATAAGCTTGCTCTTTTTTTTTTTCTTTAAGCCTTTGGTAGGTTTCTCTCTCTCATTCAGCAGTACATGGATTACAACAAATTGTCTGGCAATATTTTGGGGAAGTAAAATAGGAAAAAAGGTCAGAAGAAAAGCAAGGATCCTAAAGCTTAATTTCCACTTAATTGTCTTGTATTCAAAATATATGCAGCATGTTGGTAATTTGTAACGTTATGGCTGTTCACATTGTAATATGCATACTGAATCAGAATGTAATACTTTATAAATTGCAATTCAGTTCTGTTGTTGTGTAATTTAACCTTGAACCATGTATGTTTTGAGTCTTATTAAAAATAAACATGCGTTAGGATTCCTTGCCTTTGTCTTTTTAAGGTGTCATGGAAAAACTTGGGCTTGGTCCAGAGGTCCTTCTACAGGAGAATCCCAGACTCATCTATGCAAGACTTACTGGATTTGGCCAGACAGGAAAATATGCCAAGTCTGCAGGTCATGACATCAATTATTTGGCTTTATCAGGTAGGCTGTAAAATTTCCTGTCAAATAAGGCTTTTCCCTTTCTTAAATCAAGACTCAAGAATTTATTGAAAGGTTATTTGCAGATAGTGCAAATCACCTGAGGTGCAGTCTATTGAAACAGCTGAGCAGATCTGAAGCAGCAGGAGAGTTTCCTTCTCTTTCCAAGTACTTTTCCCTGCTCCTTTCTCCAGTCAGCTCTGGCACTTCCTTAACCCCTTTGTAAGCTCCCTCACAAGTGAAAAACTGGCCAGGAGAAATGAGAATGTTTTTCTGCCAGGTAATTGAGGTGAAGCAGTTCATTAAGTGATCCAATAAGCATAAAAAGTCAGTGCAAGAAACAAGCAAGCATAGGCTGGATGGGCCATTCATTTTGGCAGCAGCAGCAGTGAGCTGTTAAGGCTGGATCAGCATCTCTTCTCCGGCCATACAGTATTTTCCTTTCTTTGTCTGTATAAAGTCATTCTCTTTGAAGAAAGAACTGAGGCTTTTATGCATGTTTGTCTTTCTTCTATGGCCTCTCTCCTAGAAAATCTATATGTTTATAGTCCCAAAAGGACTGCAAATTATTTTGCATGTTTGTCAGTGGCTTTTTTTGAGTGAATTAAAATGAGGCAGCCTAAGCCATTTGAGCATTCTCTTGTGCTTTTCTGCTGTAAATACCTCTCCATTGATACCAACCAAAGGAAAGTAGGCTTAAAATAAAGTGGCAATGCTATGTTTCCTGGAGGTGTTGTAGACAGTGTGTTTCTTTTAAGTGTCATGATTCTACAAGTACACAGTAACAAACAGTAACAAAATTAACCAACTCTGGTGACAGACAGCGTGTCCTGCATGGCCCAGCTTACTGCTGTTCACACTGCTGTCTCTGCTGCTTCTCTGAGCCTGTGAAGGAAGAGGGACAGAAGCCCAAGACTTCTTGGCTTCTCACTGGATAAAGCATTTCTTCTAGCTCCAGCAAGGGGCCAGAGCAGAGGCAGTGCAATCTGGTACCACCTACTATGAGGAGTCACTGTGTTGTGGAATTAAGTTTCTTCAGGGATGGGTTCAGTCTTCTCATTATGTAAGATTGTCAGAGGAAAAAAAAAGAGTGAAGAAAGGATGCCTCATCTGAAACACTTTTGTCTTAATGTCCAGATGATTTCAAAATAGTACGATATTTTTATGTTATTAATGTAGGAAAGGAGTCAGTACAGATACAGTATAGTCCATTGCTACCCTAGGTTGTCGTAGTTTCTGTTTACAAAATGAGGTATGTTTTTTTCTGGGACTGATTTAATCAGTAGTATTTTGGTTAGTGCTATCTTCCTAAAATTAAATAATTTTGCTTGAAATTTCACAGGCCAAGTTTTTCTGCCTATTTAAAGGAAATATTACAAGGTGTCTGAGAGGTTATTCCTGAAAAATATACTCATATCCTGAGTATATTCCTGACAAGCTTTAGGCATAGGAGAGACATTGTCATACTGCGAAGTTTATTGCTTGCCCTTAGGCAAGCCCTTAGTTTATTGCTTGCCCTAATTGCTATGAGGGACAGTAAAGAGGATTTTCAGGATGGCAGAGAAGTGCTAACAGATTGAGAGCTCTATCTAAAATAAAATGCCTTAGCCTTTGCTCTATTCCCTTTCATTTCTGCTTAATTTCTGTTCTAAATGTAGGTTACCTGTGTCTGTTGCATGCCATCAGGGGTAACCCTTCTGTGCTATTCACTCATTCCTCTTACACATAATCTCTTCTTTTCCAAAGACTTCCAAAGAGAATCTTTCCAAAGATTTCCAAAGAGAGATGATAGAACCAAAGTGCAGTTCTCAGTATGAAATCCTTCATGATTATTAGTTAATGTGTTATGTGCACAGAAGTACATCTGCACTTTTACTTTAAAAAAATTCAAAGAAGAAAATTTTACGAAAATTGTTTGAGGCATGTTCATAATGCCTACTGAATTCTTATGGGGGAAGTTCTATGCGTGTACAAAATACTGATATAGAGTTATTGCACACAAGGTTTTTTTGATGAAATTTTGTCCCTACATAACCAGATTATCAATGATTTACCTCTGAGACTTTTATTAATCTCTTAAATTAAGTGCATCTTCACTAATATGGTTTCAGATATTCTAGTCTTTTGTGAATTAAAGAGTAACTATTTGCTGAGACACAGCCTAGTGGAGACAGAATACTCTTGATAGGAGTTTGCTTTATCCCTTGTCTACTTGTGGAGATTGAAACAAATGAAACTTTAACTGTAGAAATGTATGTTTGTAATTAATTTTGTACTTATGTTTGCTTTGTTTGCTCTGCTGTCAGGTGTGCTGTCAAAGCTGGGTAGAAAAGATGAAAATCCTTATGCACCCATAAATCTTCTGGCTGATTTCGCTGGTGGAGGTGTCATGTGTGCTCTGGGCATTGTGACAGCCCTTTATGAACGCGCCAAGTCTGGCAAAGGGCAGGTCATCGATGCAAGTATGGTAAGTTTGGTCTTTAGGAAGCGGGGGGTTCTTAGATTTGCTTGTTTAGAGTTTTTACTACTCTAAGTCTGTAAAAGAGAGGAAACTGGAGCTATTAGTAGGGTTTAAAATTGAGAACTTGTAAAAGGGAAAGTAAGTAACCTTATAAAATGGCTATTCCTTCACCTGCAAGCAGTTTTCACATATCACTGTTGTCATAACATCCTTATGACATGGGACACATACTGCGACTTTACCCTCATGCTATTCCATATCTTTCCTTTTACCAGCCTGCCTTCTTCAAAAACTATTGGCTGTATGTATTTGAGGAGTACATTTGGTGTATGGAAATAGGGTGTATAATAAACAATTAACATCATACATAACAGCAAAAGTAAAAGTTTTAGTTAGTAAACTGAAAAATTGCAGTGACTTTATCCAAGATACATCTGCTTATGAATTTGTGACAGGTCATGTCTTATTAGAAGCACTGTTCCCTTGAATAATTACACTGCCATGGATTCTTACTGCAAAGTCAATTTCAAACACTTTATGTTAATGTGCCATAAAATCAATGAAAGGCTAAATTAGCTTAATGATGAATACTAGGGAATTTTTAACTGCAAGGCCACCTACTTAGACACAGAGAAAAATACTTATTTACATTTATCCTTGAAACATATATTATCTGCAAGTGTTTTTTTCTCTTTTGCTGTTTTTGTTTTTAAAGAATGTTGCTAATTAAAATGGAACCTCCCTTCGAGGTGTTGTGATATAATGAAGGCAATTATTTGGACTTAAATATAAATTGAAAAAAATTTTATTAATTGAAAAAAATCACTTTGTTGAAGATGTCTTGAAGGTAGGATAATAGCAAGAGATGTTAGCTATCTGGACTTGAACAAGTTTTTGACAAATTCACATGACATTCTTAGAAGCAGGCTACAGCAATATGGTCTAGATGAAAATTCTATGAGATCAGTGCAAAACAGGTCTAATGTTTTTATCCTGACAGTAGTTGATAGTCAAAATGAAAAACTTATCAATTGAAATTCCAGAGATGCCTGTTGGGTTTTTGAAGTGTTTTCTGCAGTAAGCTGAATGATGGATGAGCAATTGTGTTTAGTAGATTTACAGATGATAGGCATGTGGGAAGAATTGCAAGTATGTTGGACACTTGGATTAGAATTGAAAATTACCTTTTTGGATTGGAGAAATGACCTGAAAAAAATTGGCTGAAATTCATGGAGACCACTGCTCTGTAGTTCTCGTAGGCAGAAACAATTAACTGCACAGATGCAGTATGAGAACAGCTGGCTAAAGTACAATCCTGGGGGTTTGTCGTAGTCACAAGCTGAACACGAGTCAACAATGTCACGCTGTTGTAAAACACGCACACACTGTATTAGGATGTATAAACAGGAAATACAGCCGGCAAAGTTTCTGAATTAATTCTTGTAATCTATTCCACATTTATAAGACCTCAGGGAAGTACTGTTTCTGATGCTGGCCGTCATCTTTCCAGTTTGAGGAAGTCCGAGAAACACAACAAAAATTATCATGATTCTAAAAACTTGACCTACAGAGTAAAACTGAATGAGCTTGTATATTAGCAAAGCAAGAACTGTGGAGAATTGTGACATTACCTTATTTTCACTATCAGTTCTTCAAGTCATTAAAAGAATTTGTTAGGAGAAGAATCAATGTAAATCTGCTAATGTCCTAATGAGTTCTCTGGCTCACTGGGAATGGAATGTGTTGTACATTTTTTGTGTTTTTTTTTTTTAAGCCCTCAAAACTTCTCTCAGTTTTTTCTTGTCTCATTGTAATTGTGGAATGCACAGTATCCCTGCTGATGTTCCCCAGTGTCCTGTGAAATGGATGGAACGTTGTCCAGCATCACTGGATGTACTTTACCTGGTATTTAGTTATGTGCCTTTCACTTGGAACAGACTTTCAGTGAGAAAGTTTGTGAAAAACATACATGCATCATCAACAGCAAAGACAGTTAAATGGTCCTGTTTACAAGCCTGTTTTTATATCTAAGTTTGTTTCCTGAAAGTAGATCTTTTTAAAATCACCATACCACACCATTTCAGCTCTTATTTCAGTTCAACTCGCTTTTTTAATAGGTCTATTACTTAAGTTGCTGTGCAGTTTAGGTAATTTGAATATGTTAATGACTCTGACACAAAGTGGAACTTTCTGTAATAGAAGAGGGAAAATTAATTTCTTTTTTAGCAGCTTTGTGTCCTCAAGATTACCTCTATAAATTTGTCATCATATTGTTTTACTGACCACTTGTTTGCTTTTTCCTTTTATTGTGATGTCAATTTTTCTGAAGTAGCCTAAAAAAAGAGATTATTTCTTGTATTTGAGGCTAGTAATTCTAGACTGGGATCCAAATTTTTTAAATAAAATAGTTTGTTATTTATCTTTTATTTCTTATTAGTATGCTGAAAGCTGAAAAATGGCTGGGGAGCATTCTTATGATCAGTAATATACATGTGAGGAACTCCTCCAGTTAGTGAAACCGGACTGATACATAAAGAGGGCAGAGAGGGTCAGGCCAAAGGGTACATTTGCATCACCTCTTCAGTGTTCAGTGTTGTTGTTGTGCTGCCTAAAATCTAGTCGCTGGGTCCTATGTTTCAGCTGTTTACCTCAGAAGTATTAAATGCCTGATCTGAATTGATTCATGTTAGCTGCTGTCTCTTCTCATTGACTTTATGGAAATCGTAGGTATCACCTTACAGTGAGCCTGATAGCTCCTGTGTGCTAGGTAGGGTATGGAGTGGATTCTGCAATATGATATGGTAGACACAATTGTACATCTGCACTCTTGCACCACACCGGAGTAGAGACATGTGAATATTTTAGGTTCATACCAAGTTCAGGCACAGACCCTTCTGCTGATGGTAGGCCTCTGACCAAGCATGAGTCACTCTTTGTGAAAGGACAGTCAGAGGAAAGGATGGTGGTAACCATCATTGCATAATAGTCTCATGTCAAGAGCATTTAGCCGTCCAGCACAGGACTGGGGTTCCAGGTTTTTCCCAGCCTGGAGCTATTCAAAACCAAAACTTCCATATCCTAGAGACATTCATCAGTCATGAGGATAAAGATCAGGTTGGTGTGGGTTCATTCGGTTTTGTTTCAACTGTTTTGCTCTGCAGAAGGTACAGGAGTCTTGTGGAGCAAACAGTTCACCCAGCCGAGTGGTGCCTCTGGATTCTTCTCCCTGCTTCAGAGACTGCTAATGCTTTTAGCATGATAGAGCCATTAAGTGAAACACAAAACTGTTACTATAATTATTCTGCCATTAGGCCTAAGCGGAGTCTCCCCATGTTGTCCTTTTCATGTTTTAAAAGAAAGTGACCACATTAGTGTGGTGTCGTGTTATTTGATCATGCCTTTGGAGGTTTGGTAAAGATGTTAGATGCCTTTTTACTTGTCTCTGAACTGCAGTAGGCCTCAGGCAGAACCAAGTTGTCCAGTTGCCCAGCCAGGGCTATTTCTAAAGTCCCTATACGAGTCCAGAACAGATGTGCTATTTTATTTTAAGTGTTTCTTGTATGTAGGCACCAACAGTTCCATCAGCATCAAAATCTAATTTGCAGTTAGAGGTTTTTCTTATATTAACCTCATCTATTATCCTTACATCCAATGATTTTTGTGTATTTTTTCTGTTAATAGGAGCAAGCACTATTTTGATAACACTTGCAGTAATTTTGCAAACATGTAGATGAATGTATACATTATTTTCTCATATGAAAATACTTGACTTTAACATATGACAAGTAGGGTAAGTACTTGAGAAAAAGGCCAAGTAATACACATTAAACGAAAAAGCCTGCACGACTGCATACTTCAAAGATTCACGCATTTTAAATTCTTGCTTTGAAAGCTAGAAACTAATAGACCTTTCCACATGAAAATTCTGTAGCTTTTTATTCAGTAGCTTTTAGCAATCTCTGCTTTTCTCTTTAGACAATATTAGGTTAATGTTACGTGTCTGAAAATGCATGAATCCAAATGATACTAAAAATTACACAGCTCTCATTTTTCTCTGTTCCACTGGAATGTTTCTGGCCATGTACTGTTACTGCTTCAACTTCTCTTCAAGTTTTTCAAATGCAGTTGAAAGAAAATTAATTCTGCTAGTGAGGAAAACTGTAGGATGTGATTTTACTTGGAAAGACTGGTACAAGCTTCATAAATATTGAAAGGCCAAACAAACTGAAATTTCATCTGGTTGTAATTCATATAGCCAAAATTTTAAGTAGCACGTTGGAAGAGGATCAATAATGTTTTTTAGTGCTGTATTCATCAGACACTTGCCTATTTTGAGATTACTTTGCTATGTCTATGTACCTGTCAGTGATGAGAGAGGGATAATTTTTGTTTTAATTTAGTAATGGAGATGATCTTCCTAGTTCCCATGGTTTCAGAGAGCTTTAACATTTGATTTCCTTTCAGTATTCTTTTAAAAATTGCAGTCTTATTATAATCAGTAAATTCAAAGAAGTTAATGTTGAGATAAATATTTGACACTTACAGGACTGGTATAAGTGTCTTGATTTCCAGCTGTTTAGAAGGCTTGATGGTTGTCAGATAATGTTCTATAAAGCCAAGAAACTTATCTCACCACCTAAAATTAACCTACATTTGCTTTGTGAATTCCTGATTTTTATAAACTTGCTAAACAAGGAAACTTTTTGCATTGAAACTGTGTTACTTATCTGAAGCTTTATTTTTACATTTATGCTCTTTCTTATTTCCTAACTGTAGGTGATTTCAGTATGCAGTATAAACAGTAATCGAAAATTTTAAGAAATTAAAGTACTTACCAGGGATTTTGTCATTAAAAATCTTAAAGGACAGAACTGGTACTAGTAGTTTGCTGGGGTTTTTTTTATGTAGAATTAAGTTAACATGCCAACTAATTTTCTGAAGCTGTTACTTTTTCTTGTAAATCTTCAAGGTAGAGGGAGTAGCATATCTAAGTTCTTTCCTATGGAAATCGCAAAATTTGGGACTTTGGAACAGACCACGAGGTGAGAACCTGCTGGATAGTGGTGCGCCTTTTTATGAAACCTACAAGACCTCCGATGGGAAATTCATGGCTGTTGGTGCCATTGAGCCTCAATTCTATGAGCAGTTAATAAAGGGTAAGTAGCTCGGAGCAGTTGTTTCACACCAGCAAAGTATGATTGAATGAATTCTGTAATATTTGATTTTTATTCATAACATTGGTTGTTATGTGCATTGTAAAAACCAAACACTACTTAGAACTAATTGGGTAGTAGTGTAGCAGCTTAATTGCCTTTTTTCTTCCAGCAGTTGATTTCTTTCTTTTTCACCCCTTCTTCACATTACCCTCAGAAACTACACTTAAATTACAGGTTTTCTTCTGGAGTTATGGTAATGGTAGTCTGTGATGGCTGGAGCAGTAATAAACTATTTTTGGAAACCACATTTTTCAAGGGATTGTGAGTACACATGAAAAAGGAGATGTAATTCTTTGCTATTGCAAGGAAAATCTCAAGCAATTTCAGTTATTTGGGCTGCAATTTCTTTAAAAAAGAAACTGTTTAACTTGTTTCAGAAATGAATGTTCATTGGAAGTAGTTCATAGTATTTCTTGATAGAATGGAATTTTTCTAGATGCAAAGTCAGCTTTATAAGTACCATCACACAATTTCAGAGTGCTTTTAGTGTCCAGCTATGGATATAATTTTTATATTTGATTGAAGAATATCTTTAAGTATTACTATAAAATATGCTTTATCTATCTGAGCAATTAGAATGGATCATACAAAAAATTGTGTGAAGTTAAAACAGAAATTTGCAGGTGCCTTTTTACCTTTTGACTGTTTGTGTGCTTCAAGCTTTTGATCAGATGTGCTTTTAGCTTCTTACTGCTTATTTAATTTAAAAATATTTTTTTCTGTTGTGCTCCTTTGGTAGATTGCAATGCTTTCCATACAGAATTTATGATAATATAAAAATTTCACAAAATAATTTGACATTTATCTTTTTCCATTATTTTGAATATGAAGAATTTTAAAAGTTCTCAATCTAATTTTAGTTTTGCTTAATGAGTAGAAGGAAGACTAAAAAGGGATACACCAAAACTGGCTGTACCCAGTGTGATGTGAACCATTTTTGTACTTGCATGGCTTACATGTGATAAATCTTTGCTGAGTGAGTGTGACAGTGGAGTAGCTCCTTATTCTTGCTCAGGCTTTCCGCGCTGATTATTCCTTGAATTGTAGCAAGGATACTTGTACTGGTTTTGGCTGGGATAGAGTTAAATTTCTTTGCAGTAGCTTGTATGGGGCTATGTTTTGGATTTGTGCTGAAAACAGTGTTGATAACATACTGATGTTTTAGTTACTGCTGAGCAGTGCTTTACATAGCATCAAGGACTTCTGGGCTCCTTACACTGCCTTGCCAGCGAGTAGGCTGGGGACACACATGAAGCTGAGAGGGGATACAGGTGGGACAGCTGACCTAAACTGACCAAAGGGATATTCCACCCCATATGATATCATACTTAGCCATAAGAGTGAGAGGGGAGGTTGGTGGGAGGGGCCACTGCTTAGGCACTGGCTGGGCATTGGTTGATTGTGACCAATTGTGTTCATTTGCGTCATCTTGGGTTTCGTTTTCCTCTCTCTTGATTAGTATTTTCCCCTCTTCTCCTTACATTTTAAAAATTATTATTACTTGTTTGTGATTATTAAAGTGTTATCTTAACCCATGAGTTTCTTTCTCAGTTTTACCCTTCCAATTCCCCCATCCCACCAGGAGGGATGAGGAGTGAGTGAGTGGCTGTGTGGTGCTTAGTTGCCGGCTAGAGTTAAATCACATCACCACTTCTCACTCTCAGCTGGGCCCCAGTCAGGTATGCTGTGCTAGTAAGAACATAGTCAGTGTCAGGGCCTGCACTTCCAGGAGCTTTTGAAATTCAGGAGCATGGTAACATTAAATGAAGATACAGACTTGTAAGATGGGTTATGCCTTTGGTGAGCAGGATCCCAAAGAGGGATCTTGTTCTGTACACTTTGGCTTTGTTCTCTTGCAACCTATTGTGTTCCCAAAGAAAATTCTTGCACATCTGTGGCTGTAGATGGCTACTTCTCTGTGTAGCATAAAATGGGCTGTGCATTTGCCTAGAATATCCAAATTGATACATGCTGGTACATGAAACAAATAAGGCAGGCTCCTGGAGTGACTTGGAGACTTGTCCAGCATTACATGCTACTCCAAGATCAGATGTCAGGTTTGGAAAAGCCATGTTCTTGGCAGAAGGCTGGTACTTTGTCCTTCATTGTCCTGAGAATAACTTGTTTGCAAGCTCCACTTCTAAGCTGCTTGATCTTGAAAAACAAAATATAGTTATTTTCAAGAGCTTCTCAGCTCTTTGAAATGTTTTTGTCATCCAATCCCTTGAGATTTTGTTGTTTGCAAGAACTGGAGTTGGAGAATGAAAACAAATAGGAAACTGTATCAAAGTAAAATGTAATTTCTTGCTTTGGAAGTTAGGGAATTTGGAATTCTGATACATGTCTTCACGGAGAATGCCTGTATTAAATACAAAGGAAAATAAAAGAAAATAATAAAGCTGCTTACTCAAATATCTATATGTTTGGCTTAAAGTGATCAAACACTGGTCTGCAGCATTCATGGCTGCAGTATTTTATTCTTCTCTAGGGAGTCATTTGAATAGCACTTACTTTTAAGCTACAGGAGTGGGATGGAATCTGTATTTGTTCAAAAAGAAAACAAATTCTGTAATGGAGCCTGGTCTTGTTTGTCACTCTTCTTCTCAGTGAAGCTTTGCTGAACACTTCAGCCTTCTTGTATTGATCATTGCTACGGGGCAGGACTCAGGCATTTCTCTCTCAACCAGCCAGACAGCTTCTCTAGAAAGAAACCTGTGATGGATTAATCCAGTGGTCAGGCAATATAACCTGATCACTGACCCACCTCTGTCTTGTTTAGATACCTCTTTACTGTGGAAAGTGCTAAAATTATCTGTTTTCCTCTTAGTTGTTTCTCAAAAATTCACAGAATTAAGTTGGAGCAGCAACTATGAATTCATCTGTATGGGAGCACCAACATTGAACAACTTTATTTTCATGTTTGAAAGTATTCATTATGCTTCCAATGCACAGAAATGGTTTGATTTTAACAGCTGAAGTTTCAAAAGTAGTTATTCCAGCAATAAAGAACTGGTGTATCTGTTTGTAAGTGGACAGCAAGTACAATCAATGCTGTGCCTGTGTTTCAGTCTGTTTCTTCCATATTTTAAAAATCCAGCATACAGACTACAGTCTTCTAAGGAAGTTTTGCTTTTGCCTTTAATTGTGTAACAGTCTTTGCTTGTTTACCATCAATAATTTTGTTTCTTTTGTAATACTGCATTGTGTAGAGTATCAGACCAAACTCAACATTTGTTCAGAATACTGCATTTAAAATAAATGGTCTTTCTTCATTGTATTTTAGTTGCATTTTATGAATTGTTCAGATTTTCACATAGGAAATATTTATGACTTTCTGTAGTTATGGTTGCAAGCTTTCTGGAGCAATAGTGTCCTAAATTAGAACAGCATATCCTTTTTGTGGCTTACGGGTTTTTTCCTTTCTGGGATATCTATTGCAGAAATTCAATTCAGAATTTAAGCCTTTTGAGTGTTATAGGAAAGAAAAATCTGCTTGTGAGAACTGTATTGCACTTTCACAAACCCAAGGACTTAGGCTGAGTTGTCTGTTCAAGGCATTAATTCCCTACTTTGAAGTAGTTTAAAAATGGTATGTTCCAGTTACAATTTCCATAATTTTATTTCTTACTTTTTCCCCATAATTCTGCTCAGTTCTGCTGGGAAACAATTTGATGCTGTTCCAGATAAAATATATTCAAAAGCCACTTTATGTCTCTCTGTCCGTATTCAGAAAGTAGGTTACTTTTGCCGCTTCTATATAATGTAAACACAAGGATATGGGTGTTGCAGTTGTAAGAGCTGGAAATGTAAAGATTGCAACATTGAGAAAGGAACATGATTTCTGAACCAGTTGTCACCTGCTCATAGAATTCTGGTTAGCAGAAGTGAAACTACTTTCCTTTTGGTTTTGTTTTACTTCAGAGTTTCCCTGCAGAAATAGGAACCCAGTGCTGGACCAGAGTGCAGTTAATGACATGGCAAGGAAAGTTCTTAAGGGGTCTGCAGAGGAAAACTAACTAAGTTTAAGAAAATACAGCATCGTAGTTTGAGAAGATTGTTGGCTTTGTAGATTGTGCTTGGCAGGGAAAATTAAATTTCTGCTTACCAAAAATTTACGATTTTTAAAAAAAAAAGGGTTATATGAGAAACTGAAGCTATATAAAATAGATATGTTAAATAATTGCTGTAGTAGCTGTAGTATTAGGAGTTATATTCTGGGCTCATTGTACTCTATTTGGTGTTAAGAAACATGCTGTAATCCTTTTGCTTATATTAATTTTAATACTATGAAAGTCAGCCAATAAATAACTAAAATACCTTTGCATCTTATGAAAAATCTGATGTAAGAAACGTGCTATTGATGTTAAGTCTCAGTGTTTTGATAAAAAGAGACAGAATGTCTTCCAACTGACCTGAAATTGCTTCTGCAGGTTTCTCTTGATTTTTAGCAATATGTGCTTAATACTGCTGTGGCCAGGCTACAAGAGGCCTGCAGAACACAGTAAATTTTGTATATCAGGTGAGAAGTAAAGGTTTGGTTCTGCATCATGTGGTGCAAACTTCGTTACATAACGTGAACTTGGTATCAATTTACATTGATGCAAAAAGCATTAACAGTCACTGAAGTTCTGAAAATGTATTTGGTAGTATTCCTTTCATCCTATGTTGATACTCCTACATTGTGTGACTTCTGTTTTAAAAGAAGGAAAAGAAGGAAAGCACTTGAAAAACATAGTTTACATAATTAGGGAGGATTTCCACAGGGCTCTCCATGTTGTGATTCTAAGTATTGTGTACTGTATTAAAAATCTGTTAATGTACTAAATTCAATACAGCATTGTTATTGAGATGTGCAAAGTGGACCAATAGTTTCCTGTACATTTTAGATACCCTTAGTTACACATAATGTTAAGGGGTTTTTTTAACTTATCTGTCATTATAAGCCTTAAACATCGCACAGGTACTGTAGAGAGCCAGGTTCTTGCTGCACCAAAACATTTGAATTTGTGGTAATTAAATACGCAAACTTGGAGTACCACTATGGATGCATTGGCAGTGATGCTCTGCTAGTACTGTGGGCCTGCTCAACCTTTTGCTGAACTATCACTTTCTAAAAAACTACTTAGTTTCAGAAACTTTTAGCAGAGAAAAAAACTTTACATGGTTACTTTAATGAGAATTCACTGCTGACTTGGAATATTCTAAAGTTCAAATCCCTCTCAGACTGTACTGTGTTTAGAGAGCGAGCGAGCAGTGGCATATACCTTATGGCTGTGATTTGTGCCAAAATGAAGAATTCCCATACTAGATGGTTATATTCAGCCATGTTGTGGCAACATAATTTCAAGATTACTGTGGTATGAGCATATGATTTTGAAAAGAAAATCAACAAGTTAATAAAATCCTGAACAAAGCTTTGCTAGGAGTCCTAAATAATCTTTTAAAATACTGTTTCTGAAGTACTGTAAGAAACTGTTTCTTTCCAACATGCCAAAGCAACTTCACTGATTTGTCTTATGAATTTTACTGTTTTCTCTCTCTTGAAATAGGTGCCTAATTTTACTGCAGTTTGTCTAAGAAGTTCTGCAGAAAGAGAGATTTCAATTTGTTCCATTAATAAATGTCATGCAGGTATATGTCAATAAAGCTATAGCATTTAAGGGAGACTTAAAGCTATATCATTATAAGAAGACTTATTTTTTGCTTTTTCCAAAAATCATTATTTCACAGCTATACTAGGGTACATTACTGGGCTTTTCTAAACAAAAATCCCTAGATGAAACTTTGAACAGTAAAACTTGGAAACAAGTTGTGATTGCTTTACCAGATAGTCTGTGTAAAAGATACGTTGCTTTTGATTATTTTGGGAGAAATTTATCATCCTGTGGTATCCCAAACAATCCTCTGCTGTGTAATTGTTTCCTTGTTGACTCAGTGGCTCCTGCTGTGATTCTGTTCATCTGCACCACAAATGGTTAGCACAAGCTCGAAAATCAGAAGCTGTAGAGCTTAAATGGTGTCAGTTCATGCTATTTAAAGTTGAAGTCTTCAATGGTCAATGGAAAATGAGCATATAATATTAAATTCCAAGTTCTGCATATTGTTCTATTTTGCTAGAGCATGTGCAGTTAGGTGCAGCCAACTTTCCATCTGTCACAGTCTTCAAATATAATTGTGTAATGGGATAATGGTAGAGCTCTGTTCATGTTGGACTGGCTACTGGGACCTAAACTGTAATTAATGATCAAATAAATATGAATGAAACAATGTTTCCAGTTGAGAAAATTTAATGCATTGAGGCAATCTCAGATAGCATGTTGTTTGTTACTTCACTTACTGTGGAAGGTAAATTTACCTCGTCTCCTAGTTGTTAACTACATAGCACTGTTCATCGTTAGTATTATACTTTGAATATTAAATTAATTTTCAAAACATTGTTAGCTTCTGTTTAATTATGGATGCTTAACCAATGCCAGTAATCTTCAGCCGATCTTTTTTTAGGATGTTATGAATGGTTATGAAGAGTAGATTGTAAGTTTAGTGATTTAAGGTGCACGTGACTTGGTAACTCAATAAAGACTAATGCTTACCTTGTAGTAATACTTATCCCAGTATCCATAGGAATCTCTAATAAGATGTGAAAATGCTTATTCTGTCTTCAACTGTGTTGATTTTCTTCTAAACATTAACAAGTGCAAGGCTGTCTTTCTGAGTATGGAGATTTGCAGTTTCTCTTGTGTTTTCCTTTGCAGTACCAAAGTAAGATTTCAAAGCATGTGTTCATTTTTGAAGCTACTATTTAAGAATCCTGTGATCAACAGTGAAATTCTTAAATATTGTGATAACTTGAGAGAGACTATGAGCCCCCAGAAGTGCGTAAAGTAGAGATTATAAGCAGAAAGAGTAGAGCAATTTACATTTTCTTCCTTTCTTCTCCCTTGTATGTTTCAGTAGCTATATGTCTGCCCCTCTCAGTGACAAGAAAGCTGTAGAAATAGAAGATACAGAAAGTTTTTTCTGCCTACATACAGCTAAAGATGAGAGTTCTGTGTAAATTCTACCTGCAAACAGGCATCTAGTAGCCAGGGCTGTTAACAGTTGCAAGTCAGATCATCAATCTGATACCAGATATCCAAAGATACAAGAAAAATGCTCAAAATTAAATGTTTGCAGAACTCCACATTTTCTCTGCCTTTTAGATAGAGCTGTTGTTTTCTAAGCAGCTCCTTTTCTTGTTGTTTGTGAAGCATTATGGTGATAGGTGTTCTCTAACCTTTATAATTTCTCAGATTAACTTCTTTCTTATCCCTGCTTTTTCTCAATTTTTCCTGCTGTGCTCATGCTCTTGAATTTTAAGATGTGACTGTTTGGACAGCCTTCAATATACTACTTCTGATTTTTGCTTGAAATCATGGACTATGTTTGTACCTCTATTTGTACTATCTCCATTTTGAAAATGTGCCTTAATTGCCTTTTATCTTTCTTGTTTCTTACCTCCTTTTTGAGATAAACCCTACAAGAAGTGATAACACTTCTTGCATGTCCTTGAAGCAGGAGAACGGAAGGATAGGGAGTGCAGAGAGCAGAATCCTTGAGAACAGAAATAGAGATGGGAAACTGGCTGCACAGGAGAGATGTAAGCTCCCCAGTGAAAAGGAAGGTGGTGCTTAGTTAAGAGAAGGACCTAGGACTTGCATAGTTCAGGAGCTTTTCCGTACAAAACCTCTTCCATCTGTCCATCTTCTGCTCTTGTGTCTCAGAAGAGAGGTGTGTATGTCATTCCCAGTGGTCTATGTGACTGATCTGCTGGAGAGCAGAGCTCTTTAGAAGTTGGTGAGTGTGAGGGCTATGGCTTTCACTTTTCCAAAAGAGCAGCTGTGGAGTTGGAAGCTGGGAAGCGTGCTGAAGAGAGGAGAGCAGCAAACACTGCTGGAGTCCATTTGGCTGAGGGAGTCAGGCTGCAGGCACCTGCTGCTGAGCTACATCATGCACATCGAGCCTAGGTATATCCATCCATACCATCTCCTTATCTCTGGCATAGAAACAGACCGATCATGTTGGACTTCAAACACTGAAGCCTGTTGAATGTCCAGCTCTGGCAGATGTACTGGCTTCTTTGAGATAAGTATGTTGCTGTAGTCCAAGACCCATTCAGCAGGCTTTTGTGTTGCTACTGCCTGGTAGAGAATACAATGCCTATTACAGAAAATGTTTTCAGGACAAAATGTTATCTCTAGGCAGCTGCTGCTCTTATGAAGTGTTTATACAAATGAGTGTTTATTATATGTATTTAATTAAAAGGCTGTAGCTCATGTGGCTTAATCTAATTGCAAGTAATGGAACATTTTATTCTTCTGCTCCCTCCCTCTCATAGATAGCCTAATAATGTCTGAAGTGACTTTTATCTAGTATGCTATGCTGTGTTGGACTGCCTGCAAAATATTAGCTTCTCAAGGAGTGTACTTAGTTGTAGGCAGCACTTGTTAATTTATCTGGACTATACTATATATAAACTTTGCTCTTCTCCTTTCAGGTCTTGGGCTAGATTCAGATAAACTTCCCAGTCAGTTGAATTTCTCCGACTGGCCAGAAATGAAGAAAAAATTCGCATCCATATTTGCACAGAAGACACAAGCTGAGTGGTGCAGCATATTTGATGGTACTGATGCCTGTGTGACCCCTGTGTTATCCTTTGATGATGTTGCTACACATCAGCATAACAAACAAAGAAGTTCTTTTATCAAAAATGATCAGGAAGAGATAAGTCCTAGACCTGCTCCTCTTCTATCAAGGACCCCTGCTGTTCCATCATTTAAAAGAGATCCTTTTATAGGAGAACACACAGAAGAGATACTTCTAGAATATGGATTTACAAAGCAAGAGATTGCTAAACTTTATTCTGATAAAGTAATAGAATTCAGTAAACCAAAAGCTAATTTATAATCTCTAATTATGCAAATTCCAGGCTGATACAGTAAGTTCTTATGCATTAAAATTTAATTATATGGCAAATAAATGTTTGCATTATATTGCTTTTAAATAATTTTAAAAAATTATTCAAGTTTTAAATGTAATTGAAAACAGTGGGACTTATATACTTCTGCACCTGGATGGTCTGCAGTCTAGAATGATACCAAAATGTTGTACTGAAGATCTACACAGTTTGCTTAGTAAGCAGCTGTAAATCCTCAAAATGTTTCTTTAAATATCAGGTCCTGTGAAATGTTTGTTTCTTTAAATTCTTAGTTACACTATTGGTTTGTAATATATGTTGAAGGCAATACTTTTCATAAAATACAGTTGTATTCTTCCTAAACGAGTGATTGTGTTGTTTACTCACAAATTAGAAGGATTGGTTTTTTTCTCTATCTTATCATATTAATTCATTTGCCTTATCATGCCAAAACAAGGATGGAAATAATCCTGTTTTCTTATGTGCTGCTGTAGAGTTATTATGATAAAGTAATTCCATTTAATAGCCTGACTACATCGTGTTAATGCATTTTCCTGACTATATTACATTTGAAATTTCAGTTTGCCTGGAAAATCACTTCAGAACTTTACTTTTTTTTAAAAAATAGCTGGTTTCCTCCTTTCTGGAGAAATGGTAGGCAACTTAGATGCACAGGTTTTAAACAATTTTTATTTCATGGTGGCCTTCATTTCCTTCAAATTAAACCATCATTTGAAACGGTCTCCTTCAAGGCAAAAGAAAAGATGCTTTTTGAAAAAATTAGTTATAAAAAACAAACAGTTTTCTTTAGTACAACATGTCAGGAGTTGGGATGTGAGCAGCTGGGTTTTTTGGTAATTTTGTCAGTGTTTAACTCGCTGAAGATTTGTTTGTTGCTTACAAAGACTTCCAAAGCTGAGGTGTACTTCAGCTCATTTTACGTGTGTCATGCTAAAAATATCAGCATTATTACTATAAAAAACCCTTTTGCATTGTAACACATAAACACCTGCCTGAAAGCAAGAATTATCTAGTCAGTCCTGACAAGTTAGATAAACAGTCAGCAAAAGCATCTTAAGTTTCCAGCTGATACTCACTCTAATGTAAATTGCTGAATATTATACACCTTTACAGTAAGATTTTACAATTTGTTTAGTCCCAGATGCATCTGATCATGTTGGAGAACAGTAAACGTTGTTATATGTAATCTCCAGTGCACATAAGTTTTGATCCCAAAATCATTGAAGTACATTTAAAAACTCATGTTAACTTCAGCATAGGTTGGTTCAGCTGCCTCACTCTGGTGGCTAACCTGAAAGGTATGGTTTGGCATGTCACTACAGATTTCCTTTAAGGGCTTCTCTTGTCAAGTCAGACTGTTTTAAAAAAACTCTAAGGGATCCTGATACCCTTTGTTTTACAGAAAACAAGAAAATTATCTGTGATATTGAGGGTGGCACACAGCAGATACAAAAAAATATTCACCAGTTGCTGTTTGACAGACTTCTGTCAAGTTTTTCATCTGCCACTAACACTCTAGGGCAATAGGTAGGTTCACTTATCTTCATGAAGTGCATTGAAATGCTTTTCTGGATACATACTACAGATTTCCCCCCCACCCCATTAGATCATCAGGAAATTGGCACTTTGGTGCTTGTGGTGTTTGCTGAAGGAAGATGAGGCATCTAGGTTCTTGGTATCTTTGCTGTCTTACAGCAACAAGAGGAATAGCTTTGTGCCAGGCTAATCCTGCACCTTGCCCATGTGATGTGTGTTCCCATCGTATGTGTGTTTTGTGCTTAAACAGTAATTCTTTAGTTGCGGATAGGTGGGAGCTTTGCAGATGCCCAAGATCTCAGATCTGCTAATGTTAACACAGGCTTCCCCGCCCCCTTCCTTTCATAACTTGTGATCACAGAGCCATGAAAGTATGTGAGTCCCTCCCACCCAGCATATGATCAGGACTCCATGTCAGCCAGGGCAGGCAGCACCGACTTGCCGGAGCACCGCGCATAGCCGGAACGATGACCTTAACAAAAGAGAGTTTCTATGGGACTCTGCCACAATCTTCTGATGTGGCCAAGGCCGACATGAACAGCACCAGAGAGAAAGAGGAGGCTTTGCTGCAATCTGTGACGAGGACTGGGGCAGTGGTGCCAAGCAAGCGAGCGGTGGGACGGCTGATCATGCACAGCATGGCCATGTTCGGCCGGGAGTTCTGCTATGCCGTGGAGGCCGCCTTTGTCACGCCGGTGCTGCTGAGTGTAGGGCTGCCCAAGAACCTATACAGCCTGGTGTGGCTCATCAGCCCTATCCTTGGCTTCGTGCTGCAGCCCGTGGTAGGTTCAGCCAGTGATCACTGCACCTGTAGCTGGGGCAGGAGGAGACCTTACATTCTGGGTCTGGGCATCGTAATGCTGTTAGGCATGGCTTTGTACCTCAATGGGGACGTGATGATCTCAGGTGAGTGAGGGGCACACGTTGCGCTGGCAGACAAAACTCATCCTAGCCTTTTGAATCGGAAAGAAAAGAGGGGTTCCTTTTTTCCCTGCTAAAATGGGCTGTTGAATTTGGGTACCATGTTACTTAGCTGCATGTTTTGTACCCTGTACATAGTGTTCTGCAGTTTGTGCATGTGATTACAGAATGTTTTATGCTGGTGTGGTTGCCTGATCAGTTCATATAAGTAAAGCACTGCTTAGGCCCAGAGAAGTTTTTACGAACTAAAATCTACCTTAAAGTTAAATGATTAATATTGTTTGTGTGACATAATGCACACCCAAAGTGAGTATCTGTTAATCCCCATTTTAGATGGATTAGCATTCAAAATACGTATCTTAAATTATTGCAGCACTGGCTTGATTTGGGAATGTGTTATGCTGGTGAATAAAAGAAATCCGCTACTCCTTGGAAACTATGTTGCACCTGGAATGTGCAAAACCAAATAGGAGCGACTTCCCTAGATACTGTTCTATTTCAGCTTGAAATGTAACTTCTTAAAGTCTTGATGGAATGTTGCTGCCACTAGAATTTGGCAGAGGGGGAGGAGTGTGTTTTTATGGATTTATTCTCTTCCTGGATGTCATTGCTGTTGAATATACTTGTATTCATTTGGCCAGAAAGAGATGTTACAGTCAACTCTTGATTATCTTAGACAGTGGGAGTGGGAAACAAACAATAAAACAAAGTCTTATAAAATGCATGTGTATTAGGCTACCAGAGCATGCTGTGGAGGTGCAAAGGAGTAGATTAATGCTAGTGATGCTCTTGATTGTGGAGCCTGGAGTACCCTGAGCTTGTGCTGAGTCAAGGCAGTTGGTCAACATAGCACAGCTCAGTGCTACACAGAGTTATCCTGCTTCTCTGATGTGATTCTGGTATCTCTGCTCTCTTGCACAACTAAGCATTGTTTAGATCTGGAGGTATCGGGAGAGAAAATGTGGTTTTGTAGAACGTGGCACTGTTGCTGTCAGAATGAGGGTGTTTTTCTTTTTGTAGCTTTCATCAGTGGGAGAGACAAGCAGCGGACGTGGGCAATAGTCATTACCATGCTGGGAGTAGTGCTTTTTGATTTTGCAGCTGATTTTATTGATGGCCCCATCAAAGCGTATTTATTTGATGTCTGCTCTCATGAGGATAAAGAGAAGGGTCTGCATTACCACGCCCTCTTTACAGGTACTCAGATCCCTTCTTTTCCTTCCTACCTTCCGAAGGAGGGAAAGGTAATTGCATGGATTTTATTCTCACTGTTTTTCTAATCTTGAATGAACTGATCATCTGATCCTGCACTTCGGTCACGAGTCTTTTCTTGCTGGGTTTTCACTACTCCAGAGAACAGCAGCTTGTGATTGCTGTTGCAAGGGTTCTGCTACAGAATGCTGCAGGCATAAACATTTACAGCAGCAAAACCATGTAAGAGCAATTAATGAATTTAAAAAGTGAATTAGTGTTTATTCAGCTTGTTCTGATACTTTTCAAGTTTTTAGTGAAGCAAAAATTGAAGGAGGTAACTTGTTTCTTTGTGATGGCACATAAAAATAACATTTTTTACTCAGCATGTGACAGAGCAAGAGCTGCACAAACCAGTATATTTCATTTCCATTCTTCAGCCACACTCCAACATGTGCTCTCTTCTTGTATAGAAATAGGAGTTCTATGTGAAATTCAGAGCTTCATAACTTCTACAAAATAGGTCCAAGTGGTTCAGTCCAGGCTCTTGCAAATGAAAAGCTTAATTTTCTTTTATACATGTTTTAAATTATGCTGAGTTACAGAAGGGAACCTTCTGTACAGAAGAAAACTTGTACTACATGAGCCCTGTGTTCCGAAGATGCTCAGGAAGACACAAAAGGCTGTGTACCTGCGATGTGAATCAGGAGCTTCCAGCCGTGTCTGAGAGCAGTCGCTGTGAAAGGACTACACAAAGAGCGGACGAGATGAGAAGTTGTGCCATCTCTTTTTTTGATGCAGATTTTTGTGGGTGCTGAGCCGTACCAAGAGCAGAGGCACACAGATTCAGTGCAGTTGAGGAGGGAGATGTAGCAGCTATTGAAAAGGGTCTGATTTGGGGCATATGAAGTAGCTGTGTCCAGGTTCACAGACTACAAGACAACCTTAAAGCTGCATGGGAATGAAATCAGTATTATCCATTAAAAACTGGCAGATAAAATTTTTAACCATCACTTGTTTGGACAGGCAAGGGAGTGAACATCTATGGATATTCTTGCCTTCAGCAGAGCTCTGCTTGCAGTTTTTCCTTGGATGATACTAAAAAGGCTTGATTCCCAAATTTGGAGCTACAGATTCAGCTGATTAATTTGTGTACTGAGCTGTGAAAAGGGATGTGGCACAAATCACATCAACTAAGACTGGAACAGGTTTTCTGCATTATTTGGTCCAGCACCCTGTGCTGTCTATAGCAAGATCATTGGTATCTTAACCCTTCCTGGTGGGCAATTACCTTGCCTGTTCTTAAAATACTCCCTTGATAGGGGATCTGCAGCCCTCCCAAAGCAGTCTGTTCCAGCACTTTACTGGCCTTGGTGTTAAGACAGTTTTCCCTAAAATCCAATCTTATCATCCATTCCATACAATTCCCTACAATTTACATTTATCATTCCTG